AAAAGACATGTTGCATTGGGCAACGCTGCTGCCAAGGACCTCTTTAAAGTGCTGAAGAGCAAGAATGTCAGTTTTAAGACTAAGGTAATGTCTGACCCATGCCATGGTACTTTGAATTGCTTTCTATGTATCTCAAAGTTGGACAATGAATAAGGAAGCTCAAAGAAGAATCAATGCCCTTGAGTTGTGGTGTGGATGGAGAGTACTAACTAATTCACGGTCTGTCAAAAGAACAAATGAATCTGTCATGGAGGAAGTGCAACTAGTGTGCTCCTTAGAGGCAAGGATGGTGAAACATTGTGTGATATACTTGGGGCACGTGGTTAGGAGGGAAAAACAAAGGCAAGGAAGATCCTCAAAGAGAAGGACTGACACTACAATGTGATCGCAACAGTGAGCTTGAGCATGGCAGAGATTGCGAGAGCGGCACAGGAGAGAACAAGGCTTGATCTGGTGTTCCTCCTGAGTTATAGGTGACTCCATAGCATCTAATAACAATGACAGCTACATGTGGCTATTGAACACTGGAAATGTGGCTTGTCCAAACTGAAATGAACTTTAATTATAAAATACATATAAGATTTCAAGCTTTAGTAAGAATAAAAAGATGTGAGATATTTTACTAATTTTTTTTTATTGCTTGTTGAACGAGGGGAGCTTTGGGGGCATAGACCATAGAGCTGTGTGGTTACCCAAAGATGTGGTCCTTTGATGGTTCCATTCGCAGCTCGATGAGAGAAATATGGGCAAACTCCTTCTGTGCGATTTATAGCCTAGGGTTTAGTTATGTAGTTTAAAGGGTTATTATGAGTCATACCAGACCTAATAACAACCACAACAACACAAATCTGCTGATGGTCAGCTATAAATTGGTTTCAACTTGATGGCAATGGGTTTTTGTCTTATTCTTAAACCTTTTTTCTTTTTACATGCTGAAATAATACGGTCATAAATATGTTGGATTAAAGATAATATTTTAATTAAAATTAATGACATTTATTTTTAAAATGTGACTGCTAGGTTTTAAAAATACATGTGGTTCACAATTTATTTCTATCAACAGAATTGTTACATAGACACATCACTCTTTTTCTTTCTATTTATATGAAGATAACTATGCAAGACGTGGGCAGGGTTAAAAAAGAAAACTTCAAATTGAATAATGTATGAGCTAAGTAATTAATGCCTATTGTTGTTGGTGGTAGGTGCTGTTGAATCAGCTATGACTCATACTAACCCAAAAAACAACAGATCTGAACCCTGTCCTATCCTGTTGTAGCCTCACAATCTCTGACACACTCAAGCTCATTGCTGCAGTCACTTGTTCCACTTAATTTCATTGGGGGTCTTCCTCTCTTTCCCTATCCCTCCACCTTTCCAAGCATGATGTTCTTCTCTTAGAATAGCCTCTCCTAGCAACATGCTCAAAATTTATGAGAAGATGCTTTATAGTTTTTGCTTCCAAGGAGCACTTTGACTGCACCTTTGCTAAGACATATCTGCTTGTTCTTTTGGCAGTCCATAAGATGTTCAATACTCTTTTCCAACATGATAACTCAAGGATATCAATTCTTCTTCTTTCATCCTTAGTCACTGTCTAGATCTCAGATGCATAACAAGTGACTGAAAAAGAACATGGCCTGGATAAGGTGCACCTTACTCTTCAAATTTACATCATTGCTCCTCAATAATTTGGAGAGGTCCCTGTCTTTTGCAGATTTTCCCAGTCTAATAGGTCTTCTGATCCCCTGACAGCTGGTAGTAAGTAAGTGTACCGATTGTGAATCTAAGTAAGATGAAGTCATTGATAGTTTCAGTCTTTTCTCCATCTATCACGTAACACTAAATCTTTACAAATAGAAATGATGTTCATCTACTGGATTGCTTAGTGAGGATTCATTTTGTTACCTTCTAGGAAGAACTTTTTTCTTTTTAAAGATCAACTCATCCACAGAGATCTGGTGGCCTAGTAGATAGAGAGTTGTCCTGCCAATTCAAAAACAAGGGTTTCAAATCCACCAGCTGCTCTGCAGTACAAAGATGGGTAATCTCTTGTGAGATGACAGCCTTTGAAAAAGCACTGGAAGGTCAACTGTCCGACTCCACGGCAATGAGAGAGAGAGAGAGATCCTTTCACATTTCTTACTCCAAGGACCTTACAGCAATTTCTACACAATCTCAAACGCATTGCCATTGGGTCAAAACCAACTCATAGCTGAACCTTTATCGGGATTCTACAACTGTAAACAGCACTGGAGGAGTTGCCTATCTTTTCCCTGTTGAGCTGCTGGTGGATTTGAGACAGCAGATATGTATAATCCAATAGGGGCCTTTATTTCAGGCTAGCAAATCCAAGCACTGTATGTCTTGGTCATTAATGACTGGTTCAGAGATGGGTATGTGATCCAGATAGGTGAGGCCAATGAGACAGAGTTCTAAGATTTTTGTTGGAGCCATTGGGAAAGAAAATCTCTCTTCTTCTAGAGTTGCTGAGTGTTGGAAAAGTAAGTTGAGAATGACTGATAATGAAACTTTCTTGAGAATTAATTTAACTAGAGACAAGAAGACTTAATAACAAGAAGGATAAAGATGAAAATATTTCTGAAAATATTTCTTCAGTACTTGGAACTAGCTGCTCTTGAAGCTGTTACCTAGTTTTAGACTTTTTAGTCACTGAAGTGAATAAATCTCTCCAGATTTCTGCTGAGTTTGTTGTTATTGTTTGCCATTGAATTGGAACCAAATCATAGCAGACCCTCCAGAGGGTTCTTCTGAGCTAATAAATCAGAGGAAATTGTCTTTTTTTCCCCATGAGGCACCTGGTGGATTAAACCTGTGTGCCTTTGTGATTGTAGCACAGTTTCTTACCATTGTGATAGGAGATTCTTCACTGAAATAATTACCAAGATATATGGACTTGCTGAAGGTTCTTTAAAGAGAATTAACACCTCTTTAAATGAGCACTAATTCAATATAACCCAATAAAGTAATGATTTTTTAAATTACCACTTTCTATTAACTAGTTACAGTTTCATCTAATGAACATCCTACCACCAGATTTGACTTACATAATGAGTTCTGCACAAAAATGTGAACAAATAATCTAAGAAATGTGAAGGCATGCTAATTTAAAAATATTTCAAGGAATATTATTTCTAGGAATAATGATGCAGGATGACACATAAAAACTGACTTAGTGATACAACCAGTGTCTAGTTCAATTAAGTTATTTGATTATACAATTTTTGGAAATCTATTGGTATTAAGGGGCAGGAATGCTACCAGAATTAAAAATTAATTACTTCAAGGAGTTTTTATTAGAAACCAGTTAGTTTTGATCATCTCTGTGTTCTTCCCACCACCCCATTAGTATGTTTTTCAAGTTAACTTCATTACCCAGCACAGTAGAAACATCCTGAATCATGTTGAACTTTGGTCTGTAAGTCTGAATTTTAATTTAGTCACTTAGTCACATGATTCTAATTATGTCACTGCATTTCATATTCAGATACACCTTCTAAGTCCATATACTGGGTCCCTTGAATGTCTGAATGTTCCTGATTGAAAATGTCCCTGACTTTTTCTGAGCTGCCTAATTATGGAAAACTCAGAAAAGCTTTCAGAAGCTTTTCAGAAAAAAGAGAAGAACTTCCTAATACAAACAAGAACCACTGACATAAATAAATATAATATCCCTATCAGGGCTTAAAATAGGGTGGAAGAAGAGATCTGAAGACTGCAGAGAGGTTCTAGTCTTAGAAGTACCAAAATCAAGAACAAGCAATGAGGTCCCGAGAAGGCAAAGGGAAAGCATCCAGCCCTTGTCCTGGAGACAAATTACACATGGCAGGAAAGCTCTTGGGAGGAGGATCTGGTCATTCATGTTGTTGATGTAGGTGCCGTTGGGCTGAGTATGATTCATAGTGACACTATGAACAGCAGCCAACCTGAATCCTGTTCCATCTGTGTCATTCCCATCACCTCGGACACACTCAAGTCCGTTGCTGAAGTTGCCGTGTCTATCTATCTCATTGGGGGTCTTGCACTCCTTCACCGATTTTCCATCTTTCCAAGCATGATGTTCTTTTCCAAGGAGTAGCTTTGCTTAGCTACATGCTACATGTCCCAAAGTATAACAGATAAAGCTTTGCCATCTTTGCCTCCAAGAAGCACTCTGGCTGAACTTTTCCCAAGACATATCTGCTTGTTCCTTTCACAGCCCATGTTCAGTACTCTTCTCCAGAACTACAACTCAAAGGCATCAATTCTTCTGTCACCTTCAGTCATTGGCTTAGTGGCACTTCCTGGTCCCAAGAAAAACCATGTCTGTGCAAAACCTGTACACGACACACGAAGGCATGGCGGAGGAGAGGAATCACTTCTCCTGCCCCTCCTCCACCCCACCTGGCAGAGTTGCCTACAGCTCTGATTTCTTGATAGTGTTGAGGTCTGATGCACTAAGGTCACAGAATCTGTGATGCACTAAGAATCTGATGCATTAAGGTCACAAGAATCTTGCTTTTAAGGTAAAAAAAAATCCTCAAACTTATGGTTGTTGAGTCAGAACTGACTGAGGGTCAGAAACCCTCTGTTTGGTTTCCAAGGCGGTAAATTGCACAGGAAGAGACTGCCTGTCTTTCTTGCACATAGTCACCAGTGGATTTGAACTGCTGGAGCGCCATGAGCTTGGGGTTAGCAGTGTAACTCCCCATGCTCCTACCATGGCTCCCTTTTTCTGATAAAGGAATCCAAAACACGGACAAGAGGATCCTGAGATTCCTCTAACCTTCGATTCCTGGTTTTACCTAGTTTAGAAGCAGTGCTTACTACACCTGAGACATCTTAGCCCGTTCAACCAGCCCCTGCTGTGTTCTACTGAAGACCAGCTGTGTATGTTGGAATGGTGTCAGTTTAAAGCATTATTGTCTCCTGTGGGCTTCCGCTGATCAGCTAGAGCATGATATGTAGGGTAAGACAGGGGAGTGGATGGAAAAAATTACCTTTCTTCTTTCCTCTGCAGCCTCCAGTTTTTTCTGAATCTCCTCCAGGGACAGATCTTTCTTCTTTGGAGAAGCTAAAGTTCGGGGAGCTTCTGAGATAGGAGATGGAGGCTTTAAGATGAGCTCAAAAGCCTGGCCAGAGGCACGTTTGTTGATTTGCTTCACTTCCATATCTGAGGAAGGAAAATTTGAGAATGTTAAGCACACAGTGTATGAAGCATTGGGGGCATATCTTAATTATTTGCATTCTGACACTTTAAAGACTCCTTGCTTCTTTTACAAACAGGAATAAGATGCTCCATGTAACCTTTTGCTCTACATTGGGTTGAACGTATGGGCTCTTTCTTTGGTATAACTATAGACATACTGCAGGAGCTCTGGTGGCATAATGATAAGAAACTGCACTGCAATCCTAAAGTAACACACTTTGAATCCACCAGCTGCCCTGCAGGAGAAGGATAAGCAATCTCCTCTCATGGATGATTAGCTGCCTCTGAAAACCTTTTGGAGGATCAGCTATTGTTGGTTCTGACTTGATGGTAGCAGAATAAAGAATGGCAATGTTAGAATATGCAACAGTATCTGCAGATGTATCTGTTGACATGGATTATGAGAGGTAGGTGTACTTAAGAAAAATTCTGAATTGATTTAAGACTAGAATTTCTTTTCCTTTAGAATAAACATGAGCCATTTTTAGAAATATAATATGAAAATAAAGAAGCACAGAATTGTTTTAACTGTCACAACTGAAGATATTTTCACGCTAAATTATGGGAAGGGGTGGGGAAGAGCATTCTCTCCAGTTTTCAAATGCAATCTTGTAGTTAGAAATCACTGGAGATATGTTAGAAGCAACCCAATTCTCTGAACAGTTAGAAATATTTGACAAGTCAACAACGCCGCTTTGCAAGCACCCTGCTGATTCCTATTTTGCTCTTGAGTAAGTTTTTGGATTTGAGTCATCAAGCAAGTGTGATGTCTCCTCTGGGGAGATGAGTGTGATGGAAGGCTCACAGATGAATGGCAAAAAGGCAATGAGACGATGAGATTCTGCCTTGGGGATCTTGGCTCTGTTTGAAATATTCACTCTTTTTTTTCTTCTTTCTTCTTTCTACTTAGCATATGCTCCTCCAGCACAACTAACTGAGCAGGAGACCAAACCTGACCCACTACCATGAAGTTCAGGAATCCAGGAACCCTGCCTGCCCACCACACTTCGCTCCCTCAGAGCGGCTGGTAGGTTAGAACTGCCGACCTTGTTGGTTGGCAAATATAAAAAGAAATACCAAAAAGACAACCTTAGAATTGTCCTACAGGCTTTTAAGATCCTATCTACACTTAGAATACAACTGTAAGAATTGTTTAGGTGTGTGGAACATAAGAGAAAGTTCAACTTTGACACAAGTCAAAGTTGTGCTGTTAAGTCGAAACTGACTCATAGCTGATTCCAGCTAGTTTTCAGAGGCTGCAAATGACATAAAAGGAGACTGTCCTTCTTTTCCCTTGAAGCAGCAGGTAGATTTGAATGTCCAGAGATGGTTGGCCTTTCAGCTAGCAGTGCAACTTTCTAAACTCCATCACCAGAACTCCCATACGCCGGTAAGTACAATCGGCTTATTTGATAAGGTGGTGGTTCTGACTGCCTTAGATTCTAGACCCTGGGATGAGAACTGCTTGTCCAAATAATAAGCTCTTTTTCTTAGTTTTGGGATAATTAACTTCTTTAAGCTTCTGTTTCCTAATTTAAAAGATGAAGAATCTAAAAGAGCGTGCCTTCCTCAAAATTTATTTTCAAGATTAAAAGGCAAAAGATGCAACATATAACGCACAAACTGTAATAGTTAAATGAAAACACTCATTGCTGTAGAGTCAGAACTGACTCATAGCTAAGCCTGCAGCAGGTTTTCAGTCTCACGAGAGGAATCTGACCATCTTTCTCTCATGGAGCTGCTGATGGATTTGAACCTCTAGAGAGGTGCAGCCATTGGGTTAACTTCACAAATAACTGCAGGCTCTAGTGGCCTAGTGGTAAGGATCTGCACTGTCAACCCTACGCATGTTAGTTCAAATCCACCAGCTGCTATGCAGGAGAAAGTTGAGCAATCTCTTCCCATACTATTTATACACTATCTCTGAAAACGTGCTGGAGAGCTGGCTTATGGGTTGGTTCTGACTTGATGGTACACAACAACAGACCAGCATAATTACCTTTTACAACAGAAATTGGGCCTAATATCTTATTGAGGCATTCTAATAGAAGTTTTAGTTTTGAAATGAACACTTCCACAAACAGCGTGTTTCCTGACTAAATTATTAGCATTTGTGCCATGATAGGGTAACTTTGGAAGGAAAAATCATTTGAGTCTTGTTTAAAGGCACAGGAAGGGTTAATTGCCCACAGGGTCCCTTCACTTCAATGCATTTGTTTACACATATATGAAAAAGAAGAGTAATCGTGTACTGATAGGTCACAAACTAGCCTCAGCTATACCTCTATCAGTATAGATATGGAAATATAGAGATATCTATTGATATATGGAACTATATCTATCTATCTATCTATCTATCTATCTATCTATCTATCTATCTATCTATCCATCCATCCAAACACATGCAACCACAGCAAAGTTTGTTGTTTGTTGACAATAATCACTATCTTAGTGTTCCAGGTTCTGTGTTAAGTACCTGACTTACATTAACTAATTTAAACTTCATAGCAATCCTGTTAGGAATATAGTAGTGTTAAATGAGGCTTCGAGAATTTGAGCAACTTCGCTGAGAAACATGTAGATAGTGACAGAGTCAGAAAGGAGACCAAGCTAAGTGTAATGAATCAGGAAGAATTACTCTGAAGGGCTGTGCTTCAACAAAGTTAACTGCCGGGCCAGTTTAGGCTTTGCTTTTCAAACTTGTTGTGGGCTGTCCCTTGAACTTTGTAATGAGAAGGCATTTCCTTCAAATTATAATCTATGCTATGTACTCATTCTCATTACCATTGAGTCAGAGTCAACTCATAGCTGACCCTCCAGTGTGTTTTTCGAGGCTGTAAATGACACAGGAGGAGATCACTCATCTGACTTTGAATCTTCTGCCTTTGGGTTCACAGCTAAACTCCTTACCAGTAGGCCAACAGAGCTCAGCTTAGAACATCATATAATTTGTAAAATGCCAGATGTGTTGGAGATGTTGAAGTGTTGTGTGTGGTTGCTAACCATGACCAAGTCCTATCTCTTAAGAGACATTGGTGTTGTAACCAGGACTAAACAGAGACTGTTCTGAGCTTTAGGCAGTCAATAAAACATAAGAGCTACACCCAGAAAATCAATAGTGAAATCTATCTAGTGTTGACTAAATGATGCTAGGAGCTGTGTGAGAGAGAAGCAAGAGTATTTGAGCTTTCCTGAATGCTTGAACCAGCAGGGGCACGTCTACTGTGGGCAACTCACCATCATAAGTATAGATGTTGATGTTGCGAGGCTCCGGGTAAAAGCAAGAGCAGATCAGTGACAGCATGGACAGCTCCTTCATTTTTTCCTTGTAGGCTGAAACAAAAAACATGGACATTAGTACTTTCATTTATTGAACTTACTCTAAAAGCTTCTTTTAATTTGAATAATCATCACAGCTCTTGGCAGAATTAGTTTTGCCAGCTTCCCACAACTTCTTTGCTTTCTTTAACAAAACATATTTGAATTCTGAAGTACATATTTTACAATTTTGTCAGTAGCAGACATACCCAACTCATTGCTTTTGATTCCATTCTGGCTCACAGTGACCTACAGAAAACTAGGTCTGCCCCATCGGGCTTCGAAGGCTGTAAATCTGTACAGAAGCAGACTTGCACATCTTTCTCCCATAGAGTGGCTGGTGGATTTGAATCATTAGGTTTTTGGGTAGCAGCAGGGGGCTTAATTACGGTCCCACTATAGCTTTTACATGAAAATATAGAGGAGAAAAATTCCATAGTATAGTAGGTTAGGTAGCAAATGACAGAAAAGAAGTTAAAGAAAGGTAGAAGAAATGAAGATCCAGTAAAACAAAGAGGTAAAACAAAGAGAGAGATAGAGGAAGTAGAGACAGCATTAGGAGAGAGATAAATCAGGAGCCACTGAGTTGATCCTGAATCATGGCGACTGGATGTGTGTCAGAGTAGAACTGTACGGAGTAGAACTCCACAGAGTTTCAATGATTGTTTTTCCAGAATTAGGTGACTAGGTCTTTGACCTGGTCTGTGGGGAGTTTTGATTCTAGCTCAAAAACAGTGCCTTTCTGGTAGTTCGAATCCACTACCACCTTCTCAAGAGAAAGATGAACAATCTCTTCCCATGAGACTTACAGACTCAGAAATACAATGGAGGGTCAACTATGATTCAGTTCTGACTAAATGGCAATGCTTCTTCAGATATTTTTCTTCTGAGGTGCCTCTGGGTGGACTCAAATCTCCAACTCTGAGTGAGTCTCCAAGTGCATTAACTCTCTACGCCACTCAGAAACTCCAGCAGGAAGAGAAAACTCATTGCTGCCATGTTGGAACTGATTAACAGTTGACCTTGAGCGAGTTTCCAAGGTTGTAAGTGCCAGGAGAGGAAGCTGATCATCTTTCTCCCTCAAAGCTACTGATGGACTCAGATGATCAGAGAGGAGGTGCCTGTGGGTGAGCAATGCAACTTCCTACAGACTTGACTACCACAGCTCCCTAGTAGGAAGATCAGCCCATTCTAACTAAGTGCACACGCAGGTCTATAATACATTAAGTAGACCATCTGGTGAAGACCCAATATATTGAACTTCTGGTAATATTTGACTTTAGAAGTATCTTCTGATCCCTTAACTCAAGAGATAGTAGTATTCTCAGATATGGGAATCCAGCTTCGGGACTATTGACAGGTCTATCTCTTGGTGCCAGCAGAAAGTAGATTTACCACCTAGATGGGGAGAATTACAGAATGTTCAATGGGGAAGATTTTAAGAGATTATCTAGGCAATTGTTCAGCCACCTTGACACTACCATTGTAAGTGAGAAAACTGGGTCCTACACAAGGCAAAATCTCATCTGGCTAGAAGCAAAGCTAGGACCTTTGGATAAAATGCAATCCAATCTTCCTCAGGACTGTCAACAGACCTTCCTCTGTCTTCACTTTCAAGAGAAGGTTCAGTGTGTTAACAGGGCTGAGAATATTTGCATACAACTGGACAATATGCAAAACCAGATATTGGCCATGATCTGCAGAGGCAAATTACTCTACAGTGTTCCCCATGACTGTAATTCTTCAGATATATTTCACCAAGCCTTTCTTCTGTGTCACACTTGTAAATTTAAATTACCAGAGGCACTGCTAAAAGAATATTTCTTTTTTTTCTTATCAGGCTTTATTTCCTTAAAAAAAAGCAAAACATTTTGTCTGCCATCAGAACAGCCTTGCCAACACCCATTCCGGGGGATGTGGTGGAATGCCTTGGGAATTTTGGAAGACTGAAACCATATTTACTTGTCTTGCTTGTTTATTCACTTAATCAAAGTATGCCACTTTTAATGGTTTAAGCAGATCTTTACAGGGCTGTTTTGTGTGAACCACAGTTTCTGTCAGAGGATAAAAACACATGTTGGCTTAATACACGTAGTTCCACAAACTGACTGAAAACAACAGCATGGTTTCATAGGCTGTTGGGTCACTGATGGCCCTGCCTTCCTTTCAAGGTACCTGGGCTTAATCCCTGAACAAAGCAGTTCATGTACAGCCATGTGTCAGTGCAGACAGATTTCAGTGGTGCCTCCACACTAATACGGACTAGGGGAAAAGGCATAGTAATTTTCTTATGATAATAAGCCAATTAAAAGTCTGTGGTTCACAATGTTCTGTTGTGGTGTGCATTGGGGTTGCTGTTTTTGTTGTTGTTAGGTGTCGTTGCATCAGCTCATGGTGACCCTATAAACAATATATCGAAACCTTCTCTTATCTCATGAAACCTTCCCTTATTTATGCCATCCTCATCTGCCACACTAACGCCTCTTGTTACAGTCACTATGTTAAACTGCTTTGCTGCAAAATCTTCCTTTCTTTCACTGACCTACTTTCCTAAGCATGGCGTGTTTTTAATGAGTCACCATCAGTGGGGGGTCTTCAGAGTTAATGCTTTTGAATGGTGGTGTTAGAGAAGAGCACTGAGCATCTCATGGACTACCAAAAGAACAAAAAATATGTCATGGAGAGGGGGCAGCCAGAGTGCTCTTTAGAGGCAAAAATGGTGAGGCTTCACCTAACATAGTTTGGGCATGTTGCTAGAAGGGGATATTCCTTGCAGAGGGACATGATGCTGGGAAGGATGCAGGGCCAGTGAAAGAGAGGAAGACCCTCAACGAGGTTGATCGATGTGGTGTCTCCTATAATGGGCTGTAATGTGTTAGGAAGTGTAAGGATGGCACAGCATAGGACAGGGTTCAGATCTACTGTTCATAGGTCAGTATGGGTCATACTTGACTTGACAGCACGTATCAATAACAACAACAGCAACAATGGGGGGGGCATTTGAAGGCAGCTAAGAACAGTAAGAACAAAAATTAAGGCAAGAGAATGCCAGAACTAGGTAGCCAGAAACATTACTAAATCAAATCTAAATTTAAGACACATGAGACACAGACTTATTAGAGAGTTAAATAACTTCAAAAAAGTCCACTGCTATTCAATTCATTCTAACCCATCATGTGGAGTAGAATTGCCCGGTAGAGTTTTCAAGAATGTCATCTTCCCCCCTTTTAATTATTATTATTATTATTATTATTATTATTATTATTATTATTAATAATTTTAATGAAAATTTACAAAGATTTTGGATTTCCATTCATTCATTGTTGCACTTTTGTCCCTGCTCACCTCTCCCCTCCAGTTTGTTCTTCTCTTTGAAAAGTAAAAGAAAAATTCTTTCATTGTTATACAATCCCTCCCCCCAAGAATGTCATCCTTAAGAAGGAGGCTGTCTCATCTTTATCCTGCCGAGGATGGTGGGCTTGAACCACTCACCTTTCAATTAGCAGCTGGATGTTAATTGAAACATAGTCCCACCCATGTTCTTGTTATTAGTGTGGGTGAATAAAAGAAAAATAAGTAAAAGAATTTCACTTTATCAAATAATAACAGCTTAACGTTTCAAAGGAACATACATTTCCACCGAAAGGACTCCTCAACACCTGCAATTAATTTGGAAAATATGACAACCTCAGAAAATAGAAGCAAACACTAACATAGCCATCCTTGACAGAACAAAAGTCAACAGAGGAGCTGAAATTCAGCTTCTTACATGGTTAGGTATTAATTAGGTTTTCACACCTCAATGCCTTTTAAAAAAATAGCTATTATGTAGTTTAAAATACTAGGAAAAAATTTCACTGCCATTGAATTGGTCGAGTCATCCCTCCAGCAGGTTTTCACACAGGAGGGCTTTGCCCATCCTTCTCTACTGTACCATAAGAGACTTGAGGCTTTCGAACCAGCAGTGCAATTCACTATGGGCTACACCAGCAGAACTCCTTGAACCTCAGACAGCTCTTTACATTTATAATCACAGTAACAGGCAAATGCTGGCTATTTCATTCTAGCAAGGTATACTCCCATCCAAAGAAGGGATTCCTATCTAGTTGATGCTATTGTCCAAACTGTATTTCAAGCAGTATTGCTCTAACTTTCTCTTCCTTTCAAAATCTTTTTAAAATTTAATAAGCAACTTAGGCCCCAGCTAATCAATGCTTCCATCTCTTAGGGACACCATGCTGTCCCTTACAGCCCTCAGCGGAGCATACAATACAATCTTGTTAGATATCCCCCCCCCCCACCTTTTTCTTGAGCAATAAGGAATTACCTATTTATCTGAACATTCCAAAATGGAGAGCAACCTCGTGAAATCTTTATCTCAGCAAGATTCTCCTGTCTGTTTTATGCAGAAAGAACATTTCACCAGGAGATACCTTACTGATAGATCTGTACCAAGTTCAGGAGGTGATGTGGTTCTGATACAGGAAGATGGTGATATAAAAGAACAAGAAGTGGAAGATATGAGAGACTTCATGAAAGACGCACTAGGAAATGATGACCAAAGGCTGGGGTCAGCTCAACTCATTGCTGTCAAGTCAGACCCAACTTACAGGTGATTCTGAGGCTATAAATCACATGGGCAATCACATGGGAGGAGATTGCACATCTTTCTCCCTTAAAGCTGCTGGTGGCTTCAAACCACCAGAAAGGTGTGACCTCTGAGGTGATAGTGCTACTCCATATGGCATTGGAACTTCCTTAATGTGGGGGCCAAGGGAGAAAGAAATAGAGAGGGCTGGCAGATGAGAGCACAGCAATAGTGTCTACAAAAAATGCACAGAGACATTTCCATTGATTGTATTTACCAATTCAAATTAATCATGCAAAACAAAATGTATACAATTGAATGAAAACCATTTTTTTTTCTTAAAAAAAAGTACACAGAGGGAAGAGTGTGTGATCTTGGTAGATTGGAGGGTCATGGGAAGCACAGCAAAAGAAGTCTCACTAAAGAT